GGGCATTGTCCTGTTGGAATGTTAACGCAGGGCCATGACGTTGCAGAAAAGGAATTGCCACAGGTCGAAGAATCTGATCCCTGTAGCCCACACCAGTTAAGTTGCCCTGAACAATCACATAAGGAGTTTTTTGGCCTGCTGTTATTCCACCCCCAAATCATCACGGAACCACCACTAAAGCGATTCCTCTCCAAGACACAGGCCTGTGCATAACGGTTCTCCCACGCGTCTATAGGCACGTTGACGTCCATCACTATGGGAAATGTTAAACCTGGACTCATCTGTAAAACAACATTTCTCCACCAAAACAAAGGGTCTGCGGACATGATTTCGGCACCACATTCGGCGAGCTTGTCGATGACGTCGTGTCAGGATAAGCGCGTATGGCGGGACGTCGTGGTCTGATCCCGTGATGACGTAAACGTTATCGAACTGTGTTGGGGTCGATACGGCGAAGTCCTGGGATGGTTCGGGCAGCCATCACTGCTGTCTGAAACCTGTGGCGAAGATGGGTCACCCTTACCCATCTGTCCTGTCTTAGCGTTGTTACACGTGGACGTCCAGAACGTGGCCGATCGATGACGTCATTTGTGTTCTGGTAGCGTCTCACCAGTGCAGAAATGGTGTTCCGGTGCCAGTGGAAATGTGCAGCCACTTGTCGTTTAGACATTCCCCCACGGACCATCCCAATGGCCTCATGACGTGGTGCAGACGTGAGCCTTGGCATGCTATGCGTTTCAATAGCCGTTTACCTTTTGAACGATCGCAAGGGCAGGGGGTTGAGCTTTCAAAGTGACAGTATTGTGTGGCATTCATTTTGCTCTGTTTCTCTTTCCCGGAATGCACGTACAACAACGTATTGCACGTCTCAAGGACGAACCCACTGACGTCACGGAACCTGGCACGTGCATGCATGTTGGATACATGTCACTAATCTCTGAGTTTAAATCCTTATGTGTCTACACAGGTTTGATAAATTTATATTTTAAATTTTTGTTATGCACAGTTTCTTTATGTGCCTAGTATACATTGCATATTTATATGGCTGATGAGATATGACTAGTAGTGTATCAATGAACACTTTGCATGGGTACTGTGTATATAGAAACATGTGACATCATGAACGTAGATGTATCTTGAAATTTATTAAAGATATCTCAAACAGAGATAATGTATTGAGACGTTACTGATATCTTACATTGTATCTTGCTGACCTGGTTGATGCAGGTCACCGTATCCCAGTTGGGTCGATTGTCTGGTCTAGACGCGATCATTTACAGACCGCCGCCATATAGCTGGAATATTGCTGGGTGTGGCGTTAAACAATAACCAAACTAAACCAAACCAAACAAAATCCTTCCGCAGATCTGTAAAAAGCGACATACCCGAAAAACTGCCCAAAACAGCGTTACACCAACATCACTCATTTATCAATCAAATTGACATATACTTGGCGTAGTTATCATAGGAACTAGATATCCTTTGCTGATGACAAACGAGGATGCATCTGCACATCACCACTTCATCTCCCACAGATCTCGAAGATGATGAAGATCTGGTATTTACTTGCCACTACTAAGGCCAATGTTGACAGATACCTGCTGTGGTTGTGGATATATCAGTGGGCAAGTGTTGAGGGAACTTTCTGAACTTTCTGATTTATGATCGGACATGACTAAGGTGACAATTCGCTGTGTTACATCACCTATTGTGCAAGCCGATCCATTCAATCTACAACCTTGTTAAAGTCTTGATTTCACATCTGTTGACAAAGACCCGATACGTTCCGGGTTAGAATTGATCTAGAAACCTATACTTCTCTTCAAAAGCTTAGATTCACTGAAAGCACTCAGTATATGTTATGTGTGTATATATGGTTTCATCGAAGAAGGATTTCTCAACTAACTTGGGAGAACCAACTGCAAACCTTACGCAGATGAACTGCACAAGGATCATGCATCAAATTGCTGAAAAGCATGGCAAATATCGTGCATGTGAACAGCTGCGTTTGGGTGTAAAGTTTTGTTAAGAATTCGCCAATTTTCACTGATTTTTATCATTTACTGAACTAATGACAATAATCTTTTCAACGTTACGAATTTGTTTTACAATACAATGGTTCATGTGTAAACAGTACTTTGAAACAGTATGGAATGGAATATTTTACCAAATTTAGTTTAGAACCGTTGCCAGAAGTAAATGGCCATATTTACACTAGTGAGTGTAAACTTTTGATGAGAGTGAGTGAGTGAGTTTAGTTTTACGCCGCACTCAGCATATTCCAGCTATATGGCGGCGGTATGTAAATAATCGAGTCTGGACCAGACAATCCAGTGATCAACATTATGAACATTCATCTGCGCAATTGGGAACCGATGACATATGTGTCAACGAAGTCAGCGAGCCTGACCACCCAATCCCTTTAGTCGCCTCTTACGAGAAGCATAGTCGCCTTTTGTGGCAAGCATGGGTTGCTGAAGACCTATTCTACCCCGGTTCTTCACGGGTCCTCTTGATAAGAAGTACATATGGTCGTAATAGGCGACTAAAGAGATCCGATGTTTAGACTCGTTGACGTTGATGATGCATTTCATTGTAGCCAATCTCATTGATCGATGCCAATGATACTAATCACTGGATTGTTTGGTCCAGACTGTTAAGTACACCGCCGACATATTGTGAGTGTTGTTAAATAACACACAAACTATCATCAAGGACAAAAGCAGTGTGTCAACCAAAGTCTGTTCCATCAGCTAGCAAGGGGATGAATTAGGGATCTGACATTCCTACTGAAATGAATCCCGAAAGGTCTAACTGGTCATTATTACGTTAATTTGTTTTGGCAGCTGCCTGAGAATGGCAATTACGTACTTATTGATTTGATATAACATAGTGCAACAGTTTAAGGGATGTAAAGCCACGACATTCTTGTGAAAGAGTGAAGTTATAAAATACCAAGTGGGGATGGTTTGTTTGTTTGGCATTCAACAACACTGAAGCTATATAACTACGTGTGTATGATCAACCTTAGAATATACAAAATCTATGATATCTTTCATGAGAAACAACCCACGCCGTTGGGGCTCGTTGACGCACTATATATTAAGTAATGGAGCCTGACCCTCTCACAAGGTCGCCTCGTCAGACAAGAACAGATTGCTCAGGTCCACTTTCACACTCAGAGAGGCGATGACCTATTTAATGCAGTCGATTTGAGTGGCTTGAATAAATATTCATGAACGATGAAATTACTGTCGCTTCACAACATACTTTTAAGAAGTAGGGGTATCGTGAAATACAAACGTTAGTAAAAGTTTTAAAGAAAGGTAAGCGTTTCTGTGAGAGGCATTTTAGAAGTTGTGAAGATGAAGTTCTATGGATAGTCAACTTCTTTATTGCAATGGAGTGCTACACGTTGACAACAAAATCCCAGAAAGAAGAAGACATTTTATGTCTGTAAAACACCAACCATCCTTGAGTTTGCTTTAACACAAGCGTGGGGTATATCCAAAAATGTCCATAGAACACGTGAGCAGATAGAAGTAAATGTCCTCGAGAATATCTGTGTACCGCTCACTGTTCATATTCCTTCAAATACACAGAGGGCCGTTGCCCCTAACACAGATATGCAACCCCACACGTTATATTTCGGACTGTACTTTGGGCGCTCATACAAAGGTTTTTCAGTTTGTTTGGTCCAGAATTTCAGTGTATTAGGAAACAGCCACACAGAACTTTCATCTGAGAAAATCACATTGTCCCAGTTAAAATTTCTATGCTATAAGCACCAGTTCGATCTTCGCTCCTTTTGTTCAGGTTTCATGATCGGTGATGGAATTCCTCGACTTTTCTGCCTACCCATTGCATGCATCTCAGTTCTAATTGTCTCCTTACAGACAGCCACAGTTCCTCTATCAATCATATCCAGCCTTAAGTTTTCTAAACTCCTTCGTTTGTTTTTAGAAACAAGAATACCAAGCCTCCTCCTGTCACCGACAGTCAATTTTCTGGGCCTACCTGCGCCTCCCTGGTGCTCAATGCCATATCCATTTGCAATATTTTTCAAACCACGATAAACAGTGGACAAAGGGATGCCTGTTCTACTTGAAATCACTTTAGCTGATCTGATGTCCTTGTTATAATACTCTAAAATCAACTTCCTCTTCTCTAAATCATCCATATTGAGGATCACTGAAAATGTTGTCTGCTAGCAAGTAAACAGAGGGGGATAACTCTTCACAAACTAATGAAAAAAGAATTAACGGAACTGTCTCTCTTGAATGAAACCAAGCACTTGATAGCAGGTCAAGGTTGTTTACACTAGAAATCAAATTAAACGTATTCCTAAAATTTTCAATAATTTCTGGTCATACTATATGTATCAAACATTATGAAGTGATTTAAATGACTGTACCTAAAAATGGAAAAAAAAAAAATCTGATTGATTCTTCTTATCATACAGTCATGATTAACAGGATTTCACAATTGTATCTGTATAAACTTGCGCTAGAGCTATTGCCAGGTTGAAACTGGCAAAGTTATCATGCAGTACACTGCGTTCTGTGTTACTGATTAGCATACTGGGAACAGGTTCCAACAAACCCACAATATTGGCGTTTGATCCCGTTCATCAGGGCGTCTTTAGTCAATGACAAGGGTACAGGATCTACGAAATCGAGCGTAAACGGTAAATCAAGTCACTACAAGTATTCATTGGGCTACTGGGTCTGCAAGAGGAGTTGGAGAGACTCCCTCTAAACTAAATTGGAAGACTCACACGGCGTTTGCCTCGTCAGCTGTGACTCAATGTTTAACAAATCGTTGCGATATTACAAACTACTCCTAAAATCTTTTGAAATTCCCAATACGACCATTATTATTATGCACACGTTTCTAGAAACTAATATATTGCAGAGCTGTAAAGATGTAGGTCAGCAACAATACACGTGACTGCCACGTGACTTGGGTAAGGATTTAATGGGCAGTCTAAACGGGCCACTATGGCGGCGTCGGCTATCCCAATTATTGACTTCCAGAAGTACGGACTGAATGTTACCGACCCCAAGTCCGTGACGAGTGACGTCCTGGAGACCACGGCCAGGGAGATATATGATGCCTTTAGTACAACAGGCTTTCTGTACCTGATTAATCATGGCATTGAACAAAGAAAGGTAAACTGCATGTCCTGTTTCTAATGTATTGTGGACCATGTCGAGATGTTGTAGTCCACGGGCAGGCCCAATTGCGCCCGTAGTTTTGCTATTAAGAAAGGTAAACAACATATTCAGTTTTTAATGTATGTACAATGTTGAAATGTTGTAGCCCTAGGAATGGTCGATGTTTTTGCTTATAATAGTTACCTCCCTTAGTTACAAGAGGATCCGTTCCGTCATGGGTCCGAATGAAAGGATTTGAGGTTTAACTTTCTTTGAATAGCAACATAATGCTGTCATCCATCACACATTTAAAGTGTATATTGATAGAGTCCAGTACGTATCCTACATTCAATGTTCATGTATTGAAACAGAACCGTCATCTATTGCTGCAAATCTGAGACGTTTTGCCCGTTAAATTATAGCGAATGGTTAACAACAGTTGTAACTGCGTCTGGAAAGACCCTGTTGACGAGGTTATCCGGGATCAAAGCCCGCCTTACACTTGTTATATTATACAAGTAGGTCACGCCCTGATGTAATCGGGTGTCTATAATTCCACTTGTACCTATCAGTTGTTGACTTTTCAACTAAAGATATGTGTCTTGTAAGTGATAATGAAGTACCGTGTTTGTCTGACAGTATGGACTGGCTGGTGTCGGGTGTGTGAGCCCCTTGACCAGATGTGTAATCTTTCATCATGTTCTGGCTTGTTTGGCAATGAGCAAGTAAATAAAGTTTTGTGAATATGTGTCATTCGCAGCACGTTCATGCTGTCACATGTTTCTAGATAGGCATAACCCGTGGATAGTGGATATTCATACACTACAAGTCATATCTCATCCATGCAATGTGTATATTAGTAGTATATACAATGGGGGTTCTGGACCAGTTCCAACCAAAGCCTCTGCAAAGCCTTATTTCACAAGTAAGGCTTTGGTCGGATATAGCTCTTGCTACCATTACCCCTACTATAAAAAGTTTGGGACGGTAGCGAGTACGAACGCCCAATGTACGCGCTACCGGGGACATGGGTGAAGTATGTTGGTATCCTGGGATTGCCGCTATGCCGTGTTGACAGGAGGTAACACTGTGCCGTACGGTATGATCAATAATTCTTCTCTTACAAACCCTCTGCCTGGGCCATCCCTCAAGTAGTACAAGTTAGGCTCGTCGGCTTTCATGTCCACTTTATCTATGTTGTAAGTTTTGATTGACCATATTGGGTCAGTGGCTCGCTTACGGCTATCACCCTCGTGTTCCCCAGGCTGGTATAGATACCTCACTAGGGCCCTATCTGGTATCTGTTTCTCTTTCCCACGCAATGGAGCAGCCGACTCTGCTACTATTGATTTTAGTTTGATAAGCGTCTGCGGTTTCTTTCGGTGAGGCGGGTGACTTCATGGTTGATTGCCGACACCACCTTAGGCAACCTTGTGACCCATTCAGTCGATCGTTTTCCCAGGGTGGCCATCTCCCTCGCATACTGATGCCCGAATAAGCGCTCGGCTAAAGTCCTATTAAATCTCTCAACTATGGAAGCGGCTGCGAGGCTCCAGCCGTGTCCTGACCTTTGTATCGTGTTTGGTTAGCAGTTGTGACACGGCACCCATGAACTCCCGCCGGGGTCAGCTTGCAGCTCTGTTGGCCACGTCAGCGGACTGCGTTTGTATATGCGTTCGAATCCTCTGGCTACCTGGGCAGAATCTTTCGTGGTCAAGGGCTCGGCTTCCTTGTAGCGACTGGCTACGTCCACTACGGTTAAGGCATACTTGTACCTCTTGTCGTGGGGTAGGAACAATAGGTCTGCCTGGTGAACGCTATTAGGTATGTTAATACCGAACCTCCTTCTAGGCACGTAGCGTGGTGCCGGTAAATAGATCTGCCATAGGGCTTGTTTTTCAAGCCATGCTTTGGCCTCCTCCGGGGGTACTCGCGCCATTTTAGCCAGCTTATCTACAGCGCTAGCGCCTTTCCAGTATCCACGTGGGCTATAGTAAATAGCCTCAAACTTTCTCTCTTGGTTCAATTTTCTCATGTCCATACGCGTACGTGTTTATCCCATCAATAGCTATCCAACGTTTAGTATCCATAGGCGACAGGGACGTCTTGTTTATTGTCAGTCCGTATATCTTATGGCCATCACTTCTAAGTGTGTTCATTTTATGTCTAAAGGTACGGGTCTTGAACAGGGCTTCCTTGAATCTGACGTGTTTGATGTGTTGTTTAACCACGTACTTCTTAACCCCCTTAGCCTTCCGGATCTCACTATTGTCGGCCTTCAGGATGGAGTACATCTTAGGTCTCAAACCTATGTACTCGGCTATGGGTGTGCCCGCGCATTCGTCCTTCATCTTGCCAAGGACCTTTTTGTTGATCGTGCTGTGTAGGGTATGGTCCTTGGGGTAGTCGCTGGTGTCGTACAGGTGTATGTGTTTTGCCATGTCCTCGTACACGTCCTCTGTGTGTATATCTAGCAACAAGGAATCTGTGTCCGTGTACAGCAGCTCACATCGATCACTGTATTGCTTCTTGAGCTGGTTGTAGTAGAAATCATACATGAGATGTTTGGATAAATCGAGGATGCTCATCCCCACGTAAACAGGCCGGTTGAATTTTATGTGGCTTTTCTTCATGTGTAGGGCAACTAGGTCATCGGTGAATATCTTGCTCCGGTTGAATGCCGGACTGGCTATCAGTTTCCTGAGTTTTTCCTCCTGCTGCGATCGTACGAGTTTGACCGTCACCCGTTTTCTCAGGTTCTCCATAGTCTTACCAAACACCGAGTTGTTCATGAGCTTATACAAGTTCTTCTCAAAGTCACTGGCGGCCAGCTTTCGCGGAGTCCGTGTTCATTCTGATGTAAGGCTCCATCCAAGGACTTTGGTCAAACTTCAGCACCCTATGAATTTTGGTCAGTTTCATACCCAACGACAGGTACAGCTGCAGGTTGCGATAGTGCACGACGTACTTGGTCTTGTTCATCAAGTTCGGGACGAGTTTTCCACCGAGCCAGGGTGTTCTCACATAACAAGTCCGCTGATAGTCGGACATCCAGTCTCGGCAGACCATCAACCGTTGGGGGCCAGGGGTAGCTGTTTTGTGATGTGTGTAATGCCTTGGGGTATTCCAAGTCAACCTCGAGGATATAACCTTTGTTCTAATCTGGTGCGATGCTCATAACATCAACATGTGACACCCATTCGAATCCCCTGTGGGTAGATACTGGCTCATGGCCCAGCCATTACAGGTTGTTGGCGTCGAGGTAGAGAATGTGATTGGTTGGCTTGCTAGGGTCGTAGCCCTTCACGTATTGATTATTTGCTTTCGCGTATCGTTTGGTTGCCATGGAGATCCTGCCTCGCAAGCCTTTCTCAATGAATAGGTGCATGTCATAATCCGTAAGCAATTCCAACTTAACTCCGGTCTTTTTCAACAATGCATCCACGACAGACCTGGGCTGGTGTAATACCATCGCGAGGGTCGAGTTTATACTGCTTGAAACATGTCCGCCTAAACGTCTCAAACACGTCGGCTAACAGCAGTACATCTGTCCTCAAGTACAGGTCGTGATAGTCACCCAGATTCTCACAACCCAGTTTATTCCATACGTTAATCGCGTGCGAGTAATCGTCTTGGGATATTGCCGAGTCTGTCAGATTGCTGTAAAATTCTCTGATGGGGGGTAGTCTGGTCTCGGCGAACTTGGCCCAACTATCCATGTACTCATAGGGGTACACACCCTTCCTCATAAGCAGGGGTCTAGTCTCGGCGTCTGTGTATCGATCGGTAATAGGGAAGGTATCATTGGCCTTGACCAGACTGTCTAGTGAAGACAATAGAAATTGTACTGAATCTATAAACCTAAGACCGTTTAAGCTGAAGGAGATGTATCTCTCCATGTTGTTGGGGATGCACGTTATATTACCATCGATTTTCGCGATGGCCTGCATGATCAAGTGTGAGTCATACCCTCTCAAGTTGTGAAAGACAACGGGAATGTTTATTGTCTTAGGGTTGATTCTAAGCTTAAGGTTACACGCGCTGTGAGCGGCGCCTCTATACTTACCGGTTATGTGGCAGTGATCTCTCACCGAATCGCCGTTAAGTGGTGAGTCACACACGTGACAGTTAGTGCTACAGGCGTGAGCTAGCCTGTCGGCTTGGGTCATACGCATGGGAGCGACTCTATACAGTGCGTTCCTAATAATTTTTTCTTCCTCCTGCAAACACTTAAGAAACCTTTCAGCTGCGTCAGGACCCCTATACACTACCGGGCTTTCGTTTCCCCATCACATCGGACGACCACGTATCCAAACCCACAGGCTTCATGCTCTTGTGTTTTGAGTGTGGTTGGGGTACCAACAACCCGCCTGTGGGGTTATCCCCAAGAGCCGGCGGCAGCCTCAACAGGTTTGACCAAGGCTTCAAAGTCGGCGTATATGATATAAGGCACAGACATTTGGTTCTTGTGGTTTGCCGAATTTTAGGATATTGTCACCTTCCTTAGGCATGTCGACCCATATAGCCGTCTGCCCCACACCTTGACAATCCTCCCGGTGGGATTCTAATAAATCAGCTCGTGTGAAGCCATGTAGGCACCGTTAAGCAGAAGTGGGTCTTTTCTCTGTGTGCCGATTGGTCATACAACAGCCTACTAAAGTGTTTTATCCAAGCGTAGTGGTACTTGTCACCTCGCTGGATCATGAATATATTGATAATGCGAGGGGGGTTCCCCCCCTGTTGGGATTTCCCCAATGCTGGGCTGACTCTGTGTACTATTGTTGTGTTACCTTCGTGCCCAAAGACATTTATAGCTAGATTATTCTGTTTTTCTATTTTAGTTATCTGGGATATGGGGGTGGGTTCATCTATACCATCCCAGTTGAGCCCATCGTCTTGGGGATAACTAGAAGGCCTGTCTGAATGAGTGTCAGCTGGAAACAAGGCTGACCTGATAGCTAACCTCAGGCAATCGTCTCCTCTATTCTTAACGTTTACCATGGCATGTTTTTTTC